ATTATGTTTTTCAAAAAAGCAGTGAATTGTGAACTCGCTGTAACTGTACCAAACTTGCTAGCTATGTGTGAACATAGTTAATATATATTAACTATGGTGTGAACTAGCTATATTTTATACTTTATACTAGCGAGGTTGTGATCTTGCTAGCTGGGCAATCGTCGACGGTTGGCAATAATAAAGTTGTATTACTTGTATACTGATTCTGTCAAAAGATCAAGCCAACAAGGTATTGTATATCAAATTTTACAAATATGTAGGTTGTATGTAAATTAGAAAATTGCCAATAAAAAGGAATTGCGGTCGTTTCGCCAACGAGTCGTTTCGCCAACTGTCAGTTCGCCAACGTCTCGGGTCGATTCGCCAACGTTTCCTCACGTTCTTATGTCAGTTCGCCAACGTTACATAGTTCATACATGGATATATAAATCTATTAATGTTTGTAGAGAATAACCGAAATAGCGAATTCTCCTGATATTTATTTTTAGACGGTGTAAAACAGGTTTAATCAGCGGACGCTAAACAAGTAATTTTTCGTAGGGCCTTAAACTCACGAAATGTGAAAGTTTTTATGCATATGATATACCATTCAAGTAACACAACTGAAGAGTTTTCAAACAACAATACGAAGATTAACTATACTCTGCACTAACAAAATTCCACAATAGAGCATAGAACAATAACCAAGGTTAGACACGGCTGGTGACGCTTTTGATCGCCAACGTTCCAACATATTTTCTACAAACATTGTTTGTGTTTCATGGTTTCACATTATAAAGACGTGAACTATTAAATGACCATGGATTGTAAAATAATTGTAAACCATGGATTGTTTATTTTACAATCCATGATTAAAAGTTGCGTTGGCGAACTGACATAAGAACGTGAGGAAACGTTGGCGAATCGACCCGAGACGTTGGCGAACTAACAGTTGGCGAAACGACTCGTTGGCGAAACGACCGGTTACCAATAAGAATAGCTATATAATTATATATTTATTATATTACAGTAAAATGATTATTGATATTGTTATTATTTAATTATGGGAATATGATATGCAGTAATTAAGAAGTGTATAAAAGAACCAGTGAATTTTGACTTCAGGCTGAAGTGGTTCGTATATTGTCTTACTTCACACTATACTTTTTTATATTCAACACATTGTATTTTGGGTGCTCAATTGCCCAAATTTCAGGCTAGTGGTTCTTAACCTACTAGTTCTTTTATGTGAGGGCAAGGCTTTACTGTAATGTTTGTATATCAAATCAATAGACCTTATGCATAATGACGTCTTAAGGCTTGATGGCCAGGAAAATTTTGATAGTGGCCATTTTGGATTGTTTAATTTTCCTGGGCGATTACTACTAAAGTCCTGGGCAAACTAGGAAACGTTGTTGCGGACGAACAGGCATGGACGAACAGGGTGGGCGAACAGGGAAACGTCTGAGGAAACATCGAGAATCACAAATGTTTCCGCAACGTTTCCTAGTTTGCCCATAGCTTAAGACCAGCATTCCTCGCAGGCATCAAGCCTTGTGACATCATTATGCATAAGGTCAAATGAGCAGTATGATGTCCAAATTGTAACACACAATTGTACACAAATGAAAAATTATTTGACTTTTTTCCATAATGCTCACAATTTCTTTCTTATTATATAGTTTTACAGTTCTGACTGAGTACAATCTTAATCATTTACACAATGAATGGTGTCATATGAAGCTGACGTATTAAACAAAAATTATGTCAACAAAATAGATTTTGTCTCCCCATCGGCAGATTGTTCTGTTGTTCTGCGGTAGTGGTAGTTTTGAAAGTACCATTAAAATGATAATTGAGGCAAAAACTGACTTACTGGTAGTATTTCTATGTATGAAATTGTTATTAAATTCTGCATATCAAATGATTCATTTAAGTATTAATTATTATCATTTGTTATATATGATATTGTACAGTATTCAGTGGCAAGCTAGCCATGGCAACTGGTTATGATATGCCAATAAACCTGCATCAATTTGAATAATGCAAATCATTAAAAACTTGCATAGCATGACATGTAGACTTTCACAAAGTCCTTCATCTTTGTTTAGAACGAAGGAATTTTCAAGGAAGTAATTTCTTGAAGAGTAGGGAATTTGTGGAAGTCAATACAATTGGAATATTTAGCTGAGCTTCGATTTTGTGCAAAGTGTTTTCATATTCAGATTGCACTTTTTCTACCACCTGAACAGGTGTCTTAGGGGTGCTTTTCGTGTTTATGTGATGAAAGGGGGGGGGGAGGCAGCACTTTCCTTGCGATAGTAATTTCTAGTTATAATAAAGCTTTTTGTGATTGATTGGCACTCTCATACTAACTTTTGGGAGAAAAGGGGGATCTGGGGGTCCTCCCCCAGAAAATTTTTACATTTTTGAAGCTCTAGGACTGAATCTCTGGCGTTTTCTAAAGCAAATTTCGCAAACAAATTGCATGTAAATTGACTGTATTTTACAAAAATGGTGATCATTTCACAAAAATAATTACTTTATTACGCAAATTTTACCTGAAAATGTAAAAATTTTAACTTTAATTTGCTGGGGTCAAACCTTTGAAAAGTTTAGAGCCCCCCCCCTTCAGTATATCAAGAACTTTCAGAGCCCCCCCTTTAATGCCAGAAAATATTTCGGAGCCCCCCCTTAACATCTTCATCCCCCCCCCCCTCGGCATAATAAATGTACTTTCCCTATAGCGCTTGAATACAAAGAGTATTTTACACATATAGCCTTTCAGAAAATGACGAAAAGTTTAGAAAATATTCAACTTTTTCTCCTTTGAATGTTTGGCGAAGCGATGAGTATAAATATATAATTGTTTCGGTTTGTGTAATGTTCTGACAGCACTTGACCCCCCGTTCGAAAGGTTATTTTATGAGGATTACAATGGTGGGTTTTGTTTTAGAGGGGGGGGGGGTAAATACTCGCCGCGATATTTACATTAGAAAAATTGAATCGTAATGTAATGCGAAACCACTTGTCGACAAAGAGTTTTAAACGCTTTCGACCTAATTGACCATGTTTGATTTAATTGTTTATATTACCGTCGTTCGCAACTAACGATGAACAGTCGCTCATAAAAACATTGCTTATTCGCGTGAGAATCTTAAGGTTTCTTATTTTGACATATTAGCTATTTTTCAATAAATATATTGATTTTTTTTTTTTTTGATATAGACTCAGAGTAACACCACAAATATAAAATATATTGATATTTAACTTATTGAATCAATATTTTAAGTTTCAGGCCAGTTGTACCAAAAGTTATAAGCAGTAGCGCATCATAACCAGGGGACAGGGAGGGTCATACAGAAGCCCAATTTCTTGGTTTTTCCTATGATTTTTCAATGATTTTGGCATGATCGTAATTTATCATCAAAATGCTGACGCCATGATCCTGGCTGATGCGCTTTTGGGAGGCATTTACCCCCTGATAATATTCAAAATGACAGACGTCCAGGGGGACGATATTATCAGAATATTATCGGCACGCACTGGCTGGGACGTGACAGCGGTTACTCTAAATCGACCTTCTGTGTGTCTTTGTTCAGTGCCAGGGAGGTGACTGCTTCCGGTTATGGTACTTGCCGAGTAACAAATCATGACAAATAGTACTTACACAGGAAGCAATGGAGATGGATTTCCGTATAGTATTATGAGTCATGAGGTTTCATTGTTTTGATGGCATGCAACATGTACGCACTGCGTACCTATTTTTTATAGTATTCATCGAAATTACATACAATTAAAATTATGCTTTTTCTTTTACTAACCCAGCATAGGAAATCCCTATTTCAGTATTTATTTCGCGTTAAGTAAATTCAATTCAAACTTCATAAATAACATTCTGATATGTCGGTCATAAATTCGAATGTACATTTTTGTGTCGTATTTTGTTAATATGCCGTCGCCACAGAAAAATAGAACATATTGATAAAAATTCTAGCCCTATATAGGGGCAATGGAAACACATGGAATGTTCTATTATACTTATAGTTTTTTTAAATCAATCAACTAAATCCATCAACTGAATCAAAGAAAGAATAATCGGTCTTTCTGAATTCTGATTTCTGGTACTGATATTTTTGAAATATACAAGTTCGTGACATTTATGAATCTGGTCAGACTGAATAAATGTGGCATAACTTTAAAAAACAAAGCTCTCTCAGCGTATCAGGAAAAGAACATTACGACTATATTTACAAAAAGGGTATTACCAGCTGTGGTAGTCTCTTTCATCTGAGATATGTTAGTCAGAAAGAAATTGTTTACTTTTAGCGCCTCTCAAGAAATATGTTAATTAGCTATAAATTATGCAAAAATCATTGATTATGGGCTCCAGAAAATCTTAACTCGCGCCATATACGATACCCGCAGGTTTTTCTTCAGATCTTCTGAAAATAAGTATAAATCATTACAGCCAAGCACATTTCAGCGTAATTTTAGGTCCCCATTTGGAGATCTCAGGCTTCGATTTTAGTGTAATTCTGTAGACCGAACAAGAAGCAAAAACCAGTGTGCCGTCAAGTCGCTGTCGTTTATTCACAATTTATTCAAATGCTCTTATTTTTTGGAACAGGGAACCTGAATTGTATCTTAACTTGTTGATCTGGTTGAAATATGGAAATAGTCAGGCGTTTTGACACAGCGCGGCTCTTCAATTTACCGAAATTCAACCTTCGATTTTGCTTGAAATTAGCTCTGCACGGGTAAAATGAGTTTCGGCGTCTAGCGAAGCCATAAAAAAGAATTTTCAAAAAATAAATTTATTTTGGACACTTGTATACCAATGCCTTTCAACACACAAAAAATAAAGGAAATCTATTTTCCGAAGTCAAAGTCATCGGACCGCTCTTAGCGGGACTGCCACTTAAATGTCCGAAATGAATGTTTGGAAGCTAATCTTTTCAGTTGTTCCGATAAGCCCTGGATGTAAGGTACAATTATCATTCCTCGATGTCTTGCTCTTCTGACTCATTCCTTTCGCGTTTATCCTCTCGCATGTATTCTCGAACCTTCTGTCTTTCGAAACCATTTGCCACAAACACATCTTCTACGTTCTTTAGTTCTTCCTCTAGGTGTTTCTCATCACATAACGCTCGCGCTCTGTCTGCAAATCCTTTGATGATGCCTTTTTTCATACAAGGAGGATGATTCGATTTCGCTTTCACATTGATGTTGGTGTGTGTCTTCTTATAATTTATTTATTTATTTATTTAAAATTCTTTATACACGGTAGATTATCAACCTATTTCTACTAAAAATATATAGAGTTTTCTGATAGTAATAAAGTTTCAAATAATTAAAATGGTTGCTTTTCATAAGGCCGTGTAGAAATTTAAGCTAAACTGGTCCGTCAGAGTCGTACACTCCCTTAGCCAAATGTAGTCTGACCCGTAATCGTATAGTTTTGAATATTTATTGTACACACTGACACTGATATTGATACTTGTACGGAATACTATTCGATCTATTAAAGTTATATACAAAATAATTATAAGTAAAGAGTAATAATATAAGTGTACTTTTATACATACCACAAATTCATATAGCAAATCATTGAGTTCTATAAATGTCACTTACTTCTTTAGCGGGTCACTAGGACTACATTCAAACAGTTCAAAATACAGGTTAGCAGAATAAACAGAATACAATATTACAACAGGTTAGCCTTTTCACGTTTCAGTAGGTCCTTTCGACCGCAGTTCCTTATCTCAATTAACAATAATCTTGAACATGCAATTTATGTAAATGTCAAAACTGACAAGATATGTCATTGTCGCAAAACTAATTTAAACTAACAGAACTAATATATTAAAATGTACGTAAATTAATTATGCAATTGTTACGTCGTGAGTGTCTAACGAAACACTCTCCCCCCCAATGAGGGTACTCTCATTCTTCAGAATCTTCTGCCGGGTGTATAACTGCTATCTTCGTAATCGGTCTGCTGTACTCTCTGCCGGATGTGAGGACCGTTACATTCCTGACTCGTTTGTCTTTTCCTGGATAAACTTTCGTCACTCGTCCTATTGTCCATTTTCCGCGAACCGCGTTGTCATCAGCGACCATAACTACGTCGTTAACTCGAACATCACGGGTCGTCGTGTTCCATTTCTTTCGCGGAAACAAAGACGGGAAAACATCACGTGTCCAGCGACGCCAAAACGAATCAATAATCTTCTGCACGAATTCTACACGCTTACGAGGATTCTTAGTTTCATTAAACGGACCTTGTGGTACTTGTGGCGAGGCTCTTCCGAGTAGAATGTCGTTTGGGCAAATGTATGCACCGTCGTCTGGGTCGTTTGGGATTCTTCCGATTGGACGCTGGTTAACTAGGTTGGCGACTTCAAGCAGGCAAGTGTAAAGTTCGAAGGGTGTCAACGTTGAATCACCAATTGCTTTTTTCAAAGCAATCTTCACGCTCTTTACAAGCGCTTCTGCGCAACCATTCTGTTGTGGAGCTGCAGGGGTTATGAATCTCCATTCCATTCCCTTTTCCGCTGAGAATTCTCGTAATTTCTTTGCGTCCAGTCCTTTGACCATCTTTCGGAGCTCAGCTACTGCTCCAACTAGTTGTGTACCGTTGTCGCTGAGCATGCACTTCGGATAACCTCTCATCGCAAAAAATCTTCTTAAGACTTGCAGAAAATCCATGGTTGTACAATCAACTGCTAACTCTAGGTGCACTGCTCGTGTGTTGAGGCATGTGAAAATTACACCGTAATGCTTTGTAGTCTTGTTGCGTCCGATCTTTACTTTGTAGGGACCAAAATAATCACATGACGTGAAGTGGAACGGTGGGGTGTGTGGGGCCAATCGTAATTCGGGTAGGTCGGCCATAACTTGGACTTCGGCTTTGGGTTGCATTTCTTTACAAAACACACATTTATGTTTAACAGACTTTGCAAGATCATGTCCTCTTATGATCCAGAAATTTCGTCGAACTTTTGCTGCTGTAGTTGCGACTCCATTGTGACCAAAACTGTGTGACTGGCGGGTAATAAGGAGGGATATCCAACTGGCATAGGGTAGCAACGCGGGGTGTTTTGTCTCGTAGGATACTGTAGCTTTGTCTGCTCTTCCACCGACTGGGATAACTCCTTCAGAATCTGTAAATGGAGTTAATGTCGTCAGCTCTCCTTTGTTAATTCGATTGTGAAGTTCTTTCTGTGCGTCTTTTATCAAGTATGTTTCAGCTTCATTCAATTGTTGTGCACTAAGGTATTTGGGATCAGGATTTACTAACTGTTCGGGGGTTTCATCAGTTTTTTTCTTACGAATCTTTCGAACGAATTTTAAAACATATCCGGTAACTCTGATCAGCTTTCTCCAACTCGAATATTTCTTGGGTTCAATTGGGTTACAATTCTCGGATGTCTTCACAGTGCCGACGATCTTGCGGGCTTCTTTGGATACTTCTTTATCGTCAACCTCCGATAAATCTTGTGGCCAATCCTCCCGGGGCAAACGCAGAAATTCTGGGCCGTGCTGCCATCTTTCATTTAACTCGTGAACTGCTATCCCCCGAGATACATCATCAGCCACATTTGACTCGCTGGATACGTGTCTCCATTGTTTGGGATCACTGTTGCTCTGGATTTCTCCAACTCTTGAAGAAACAAACTGCTTGTAAACTCGAGATGTACTTTGTATCCATGCCAAGACAATTTTACTGTCAGTGAAATAGATTATTTCTTCAAATTCCAATCGTGACTCCTTCTGAATTATCGTTGACAGACGTGATGCTAGTAGTGCAGCTTGTAGCTCCAATCGTGGAATTGTAAGCTTCTTTAACGGAGTGACTCGTGATTTCGCAGCGACAAAACGGATCTCGAATGTTCCATCTTCTTTCTTCCAACGGAAATAGGCACACGTCCCAAAAGCATATTCAGATGCGTCTGCGAAGATACATAAAATTGGCAGGCCAATGCTATCAAGTGCAAATAAACCTCTCGGGAAGGATACTTCATTCAGGGTTTTCAATTCTTCGAAGAACTTTGTCCATTTTGCTTGTAGGTTCGGTGATAATTCGTCGTCCCAGTCGACTCCCATTTGCCACAGTTCTTGCATTCCAATTTTTGCTCGGATTAGAAACGCTGTCGCAAAACCGATTGGATCATAAACTTTCGCTACCTGGCTGAGGATATTTCGTTTCGTGCTTGGCTGGTCACACTCGACTTTCGTTATAAAACGTAGCTCGTCTTTGGCGCTATTCCAGACGACACCTAACACTTTGTCGTTTGAACTTGGTTGAAGGGGTTTTACATGCTGTTGTTGTTCGGTATTTGGGTCGAGGTCTTTGTTGGACAACCATTCCTTTATCTTGAATCCTCCCTTTTTCAACAAGCTGTCAATTTCACTGGTTAACTTTCGAGCATCTTCAGTTGAATGGACTGAGTCGCAGATATCGTCCATGTAACTATTATCTCGTACTGCTTCAGCTGCACGTCTACTCTCGTTTTCTCCTTCTTGTGCTGTCTTACGTAGGGCGATTTGAGCCATAGCTGGAGCAGGCTTATCTCCAAAGGTAAGCACTGTCTTGACGTAGGTATCGGGTGGTCGGGTGGTATCCAGGTTTCGCCAGAGAAAACGGTGAACATGTTGGTCTTCTTGTACCTGATGGTACATCTTGGAAATATCGCCAGATACCGCAACTTCATTGTCTCGAAATCGGAGTGTCACTCCAAATAAACTATTGAGGAGATCTGGGCCTTTCAACCAATAATCATTTAGAGAATGTCCCTGATACACGGCGGATGAATTGAATACAATTCGGAGAGGGGTACTTGCCTTCTCGGGACGTAGGATGGCATGGTGGGAAACATAATGTACTGGACCTTTATAATTTTTGAGCTCTTCTTCAGTTACCTTTCGAGAAAAGTTCATTTCGTTCATTTCCATCATTTGCTTGTCGTAGGCTGCAGCTTGCTCTGGTTGTTTCATTAGTCTACGCTCGGTGGATTCCAATCGCGTGACTGCCTGAGAACGGTTATCCGGTAATTGTTTTGGGTCTTTTTTCCACGGGTAAGGTATCAACCATTGATTGCCAACTTTCTTGCACGACTTTTCTATAACGAGCTTTTCTTCGTTTTCAGCTTGACTCAGTTTCTCAGGTTCGCACAGACACGGTTTTACTTCTACACCCATTGACTCTGTTGTCCAGAAGTCGGTTAAATCTACGGGCTTGGAAAACTTGACGCAGAATATCTTATTCACTCGATTGGTCTCTCCAGGTGTAGATCCAAAGACTACCCATCCCAGCGGCGAATTTCTTGCAACCAAGCATTTTGTTTGTCTCGTCTCCCCGGTATGCATAAATGCATGGTCGATTCCTATCAATAGGTCTATGCTGCCTTTTCCACGGTGGATTTGACTTCGTGTTAGCCCAAAACTGTCCGAAATCTTGTCGATTTTCATTTCTGTTACGTCATCACTGATGCAGGCAATCCCAACTGCTGTTACCGAGTAAGTCTTCTGCGTGTCTAACGAGGTGACAGGAACTCTGTATACCTTTGACTTCACGTTTTCTTCCTCACCGCCAACTTTGGTTATAGTTATTGAAACATCTTTGCCTTTCAATCCAAGGGATTCCGCAGTTTCTTGCTTTATTAAACTGATTTGTGCTCCGCTGTCGAACAAAACGTTTCCTCTTTTGTACATCTTGTTTGTACCACAGATATTGGCGGAAATCATCGGGAGAAGGGACTCTTGATTTTCATTGGTCAATGCTACACCTACATTAGCTTTGGTACTTTGATGCAACAGGGGGTGATGAAAGGAAGGGCATTGTTTACCATTTTCAACTATTGTACATTGTCTACGTCTATTACAGTTCGACATTCTATGATCTCGACCAGCTCGCTTTAGGCAACTAAAACATACGTGGTTTTCTTTGGCAACATCAAGGCGTTTTTCGGGTTTTAGAGCTTTAATCTTTTCACATTGATCCGGCCAGTGGGCAGAATTCTTGCAAAACCAACATTTATGTCTCGTGATGTCACTTTTTCCGTCATCAGTTTTCGTTAAGTGGGAGATAAAGCGATTATTGCTACTAATGGTTCTAATCGGCGCTGTTGCACGCATTCGAGACTTCATTTCTATCGACATCCAATCAATCAAACCTTTCAACGATGCCTGTTTTTTATCTCGCTGTAACTCTCGTGACCACACTTTCCGGTCGTCGATACACATTTTTTGCTCTATTATAGACAACATATGGCTGTTATCCATATCACTAGGTAGTCCGACCTCTTTCAATGTATTATAACATCGTCGCACTAGATGAACTAACTCGCAAAATCGGGAATCTTCGCCCTCGCGAAGCGGCTTAAATTTGGCAATATCTTGAGTAATCGTGTCCGAAACATATCGGGGGTCTCCGTAAACAGAATCGAGGTATTCCCACGCAGCGTCGTAATCTGAGCCTATTCCTTTAATTAACTCAAGTGGTTTACCCTCGAGACATGTTCGTAAAAATGTCATTGCGTCGCGTTTACCATATCTTGATTCTACTGCGTATTTAAAATCAGCGCGGAAAATTGCGTATTCTCTTACATCACCGGTAAATTTGGGCATTTTAGGCTTTTCCATTTTAAAACTACAAGTTTGACTCGCGCTTTGCTGTCTTTGTTCGTTCGCATGATCAGCTGGAACATGTTCATTAACAGGGCTGACAGAATTAGGCGCCTGAGCCGCAGGCGACGTATTTATTACGATACTAGAGGTATTCTCATGCATTGTTGGAATTCCATCGGAATTTTGCATGCTTGTTTCACCGTCCATTTGCTGTTCTAAATTTGTAACACTGGTACATGCTTCTACATTATTACTTGACTGTTCGACATTACTTTCTAATTTACTTTCGATATACAATTTCGCGTTAGTTTCCAAATTCATGAATGTTTCCTGAAATTCTTCTAGCCAGTGTTCCTCTACAGTGAATGCTTCGTCATTCTCAATTAAATTGGTATATTCTTCATGCTTCGATACTAACGTTTCATACGTTTTCTTATATAAAAGAAGAGATTCGCTTACCTCTTCTCGTGGCCGTTGTCCTTCTATCAGGTGGTTCAGGGCTTTCCCGGCTCTCGTCAATGCGGCTTTCGCGGTGCGTCGATTCAGCTTCGTGTTCTTCAATCTTGCGTCGACAACCTCTGGCGCTTCCTCCGTTTCGGGCATGATTTCTTTGGTAGAACTCCTCGGGACGTTTCGTTTTATCGGCGATAGAGAAATCGAATGCTATGGTCCGTCAGAGTCGTACACTCCTTTAGCCAAATGTAGTCTGACCCGTAATCGTATAGTTTTGAATATTTATTATACAAACTGACACTGATATTGATACTTGTACGGAATACTATTCGATCTATTAAAGTTATATACAAAATAATTATAAGTAAAGAGTAATAATATAAGTGTACTTTTATACATACCACAAATTCATATAGCAAATCATTGAGTTCTATAAATGTCACTTACTTCTTTGGCGGGTCACTAGGACTACATTCAAACAGTTCAAAATACAGGTTAGCAGAATAAACAGAATACAATATTACAACAGGTTAGCCTTTTCACGTTTTCAGTAGGTCCTTTCGACCGCAATTCCTTATCTCAATTAACAATAATCTTGAACATGCAATTTATGTAAATGTCAAAACTGACAAGATATGTCATTGTCACAAAACTAATTTAAACTAACAGAACTAATATATTAATATGTACGTAAATTAATTATGCAATTGTTACGTCGTGAGTGTCTAACGAAACATATATTTTCAGTATTTTACAACATTTCGCAACCAAACTTTGCAATAATTTACTTATTTTAGTATGTTCTTTCTAGTTGTAGTGATTTATTTGCATCAAGGCTGGATTTTGAGGGGAGGTGTGGAGAGTTGGACAATTCCCCTGAGATCGTTTTACACCTCCCCTGAGAATTTTTCCACCTCTCCTGAAAGGTCATGCACCTCCCCTTGGGAAAGTTTCAATGATGGAACAAAGTGAAAATGTGATGGTTGCTTAGGATCTACACTTCGTAACGTAAGAAAGTTTTCTCTGTAAAATTGAAACAGTGATAGCCATTCATCTCTGTGTCAAGCACCCTTTTAATGAAATGTTTTGAAAGAAACTTTGTAGCAATTATAATGAAGGGCAAGATTGGAGTCATATACATTCATAATTCATTAATACACTGGTACATATGTACACTACATGCATACCTCACCTCGTTGATATTGGCCTGTTCTACAATAAGCCCTAATTTTCCATGGGAGTTGTGAGCTAGACTGCTGCACCTCCCCTAAAACTTTTTTCCACGTCCCCCACTATTTTTACCAAAATCCGGCCTTGATTTGCATCTCTTTGCCTAATTCTAAAATTAATCTATAATGGGGATTTTCCGTTTACATGAACATAAGAGACTTTTTATTTGGCTTCCATTTATGAATATTGAATTCAGGTCTATAAACATTGTTATTTGTTAAGTTGTTTTAATTGTGATACATTTTTAACCCCCCCCCCCAGTCTCTCCTCAATCCCCCCCCAATCCCCCCAACAATCAAAGCACAGACATCCTGATATTTGCCCATAAACCTTGCCAAGATATCATCATTTTAATCTGAATAGTACATGAACTTGGGATTAGAGCATCACAGTTGATTAGAACGCTGCACTAGAATCGCTTGGCTGCAGGTTTGATTCCTGTTTGAGGGCTTATATAGTTGCGTTTTTCGCAGCTGCTCCTGGTTAGGTTTAAATATGAATATATAAAATTCACACTCCAAATTTCCATTTACAAAATCCTGGAACATTATTAGTTCAATCGAGTGAAATGCCCAAAAATCGTGATAAATATTGAGGCGTCTGCATATCCAGAAGCAAAAAGAGCAATATACAAATTAAACTTCCCGCAATCAGCATGGGTGTGCAAAGAATGTTGCAGCGTGCTTTTCATACTTTAAGTTCTAGCTTTTGGCGTTGTACGTACCTTTCAAACAATACCAGGCATTTGCCTTGCTTGTACTTTACTACACTAATCTGTGAGATGTTTTGCCTTTCACCTGTAAGATTATGGCAGTGGCTTCAATTATCAATGATATGTGAAAGGAGCTATTCAATACTCTGCTAATAGTTAGTGTATGAGTTTCCTCTAGGAACTTCGGATTTTTACCATGAAATTTTGACTGGGAAGATTTATTTGAATTGTCGGCTAGGAAGGTTCCTCTGACTGTCACCATATCATTTCTGTCTCTGCATTATAATCCTTGCATCGTAGCTGTTTGGTGAAGAAAAGCAAGAAGACCAAAACATGGTTCAAGACTTAGAGTAAAGTGCGGTAAGTATACAAATAATTTGTTACTACAATAGTTTGCCATTTTCAATGGAAAATCCTTCATACATCGGTACATTCTGAGATTTCCATCCTCCTGTAATCTGGCGAGGGCCTGCGGAATCTTGCAAAGAAAATGGTGCCGGCGTCACATCAGCAAATAAATTTATACATAATCTTGAATATAAACAGGTTATAAAAAGCGGCGTGAAACTTGTAAATTAAAATGGCGACTCTAAGGAGGTGGAAGAAAGCATTTTTTAACGATAAGGTTTCTTGTATATACCAACGTTGCACGTAAAAACTGCCTTCTTTAACAAAGCAGGTTTAGAACAACATTTATTCATTTGACAAGATTCCGCAGGCCCTCTCAAAATCGTGACCTTCCCATGACACTACGAGGCCTGCGGAGGAGGCAGGCCATCTTCCCCTGGGAAAGCCCTGGGCATTAGTGCATTAATTTTTAAATTTACCCGACGTTGGGAAATTGTAAAGAGGGTACAATTTGATGCCATGGCAAGCAGTGCAGGGTGGGCGTTGTACGCCTAAAGATGTGACACAGTCTGTTTGCATGGGTCAACTTTGTTCACATTCTTTTTAGGGAAATAATTTACTCAATATACAAAGTGGTAAAGAATATACTGTACATACTTCCCTGCTTCCGGAATAAATGATCAAGGTAGCACAAACATGGAACCTAGTTAATTTAAACTATTTGTATATTTATCAACAGGCTTTAATAATAATTTATAATATGCAGGATTAATATGCATGATTAATATGCATGCACGCATGGGCAGAACGGACTGTACCTCATCTAACAAGAATGTGGTGAAAAAGCAGAGAGAGGATCGAGGCAGCGACGGTTTGCAATAACCAATAGACAGTTTTAGATAACACGACGCGACGTCGACGAGAACGTGGTTGACCGAGGGAGAGACTGGAAATAGGACGCCGTCGCGTTATGAATGAAATGTGATTTAGATTTGCGAGGACGGTGTTGTTTTGTGTTCTCGAATTTAAATAAAGACTTTGCTGATCAGTCAAGGCGATTTTAATAAATTTTTTAATCAGATAAATAACTCTGTTTCCGTAGAACAACGAAAAGTCCTGAAGTCGAACGGAATAGTCTGTAAATGTGTTTGAAATTTGAATACACGAACTTTCGAGCATTTGATAAAATTTCTAGAGAATCTTATGTAATCTTATTTTATTTTTTATCATTGTAAATTGATGGTCAAACAAAATAAAGTTTTTCCGTTAAATTCTTTACCGCTATCGTCATGATGTCGTGATTTTTACAGTAAGTATTTTTTGAGTTTTATATTATGCTGTATATTGAATGATGATATAACAGATATAACGACAGCAAAAACAAGGCTGTTCGTGGTCTTCAAGCTGCCCGCGATGCTTTAATGTTTGCATATGCAGATCATTTGATAGACGACTTAGAATTTGCGTTACTATTTGATTACAACCTGTCGAAATCAATTTATCCGTATTGGAACTATGAAGAATTTGATTTCCAAACTTGGGATGAGGTCGAGTGTCGCACGGAGTTACGTTTTGATAAAAATGATTTGCCCTTGTTGATGAGATATCTCCAAATTCCTGAGCGAATAGTTTGTGAACAATGTACGGTGTGTGATGGTATGGAAAGCTTGTGTATTCTTCTTAGAAGATTGGCATAACCGTGCAGGTACATAGATATGACTCGTCGATTTGGTCGAAACCCAACAGAGTTGTGCCTTATTTTCAACAAAGTAGTTGACATTGTCTACGACACCCACCCGCATCGCCTTAAGAGTTGGGATCAGCCTTTCCTTTCTGCAGACCATCTTCACAACTATGCATTGGCAGTTCATCAGCATGGTGCTCCTCTTCATAATTGTATTGGGTTTGTCGATGGGACTGTACGTAGAATAGCCAGACCAAAATACCACCAACGGATCATGTACAATGGTCACAAACGGGTTCATTCAATGAAATTTCAGAGTGTCGTTCTACCAAATGGATTAATTGCTAATCTGTCTGGTCCATATGAAGGCAAACGACACGACATTACGATGTTGAATGAGTCTGGTTTGTTACCCACCCTTAGACGTGTTGCTTTTTATGACAACGAGCCTCTCTGTATCTACGGCGACCCAGCATATCCTTTAGGGGTTCACCTACAAGGACCATTCAAGGATGCACAGCAGCGGCGGCGGAACAGATTTCATTCTGGAGGAGCTAAATTTTTTCGGCGACCTCCCCCCCTCCCGTCGCCAAAAAAATTTCGGTCAGTGTACCATTTTAGGGGTACAATATACAAAAAAAGGGACGAAAAAATTTTTTTCGGACTTATATCTAAAAATTTTTTCCGAAATAGACTTTTTTTAAACAAAATATTGCAAATTTGTCCCCTCATACCTAAATTTTCAAAAAATAACGTAAATTTTTCCGTAATTATCAAAATTTTTTCCAAAAATTCAAATTTTCTGGGGGGGCCTAAGCCCCCCCCACTTTTACCTCTGGGGGCTTTAGCCCCCCTAGCCCCCCCCCCCTGTTCCGCCGCCCCTGATGAACAGCTCACACCCCAAATGAGAGATTTCAACAAAGGAATGAGTGAAGTTAGAATTACTGTGGAATGAATGTTTGGAAACATCACAAAGTTCTTTAGTTTTGTTGGCTTTAAAAGGCAGACCAAACTCAATCTTAGTGCTGTTGGTAAGATGTATTATATTTGTGCTTTGCTTCAGAATGCTCGTACCTGCCTTTATGGTAACATTGTTTCATCCTTTTTTGAACTTTTACCACCTACATTAGATGAACATTTTTGGTGAATGTTTATATAAAAAAATCATGTTGGAGTATGTTGTAAAAGTTATCTTGTAAAATACCAGAGATGTAAAGGTCATCTTGTAAAATACCAGGGGTAAAATACCATGATCTGGTGGGGGGAGGGCTCTGCCAGCTCTAGTGTTGAGCGATCATGTACGCCACCCGCCCATCAACATCGTCATTAGTATTGCTTGACTACAGTACCGGTATTTCAAATTGAATTGTAATTGTTGTTCACAGTTTGTTATCTTTTTACTCAAATTACTGTATCTCATTTTGTTTCCAATATGTCTATGCTTTACTATGACTGAATAGCACCCCCCTCCCCCTCCCCAGTAAATCCATCCTGGTAAAATACTGTATATGTAAAATATTAATTATCTATCTCGGCAAATGTCTAATGTATTTTTCCCATACAACCAATAGTAATGTTGGGATTAATTTGGAAAAAAATACAATAGACAGGTGAAAAGATGGGAACCATTTTTAGCATAAACCTGTATTTAAGGTGGCTCCCTACAGTTATTCTTGTTTAAGCAATAATTCCATAAAACAGGCTTATTCCTGCAGAACGCGAATTCTTTTCGACTTGGTGGCAATATTGGTCACCTAAGGAATATTTCGAACTAGATTTCGACGATGACAATGTTTCCATGGCAACATGACGACAGCATAAAGCCTTCCAATTTGACCCATAAATGTGCCGCTATCTCAAAAACGATGTCGGTGACCTATCCTTTTTATTTCATATATCAATAAGGAATAATGCTCTGCAACTGTGGTGAAAGTTTAAAAAAATTCTGCAGTGTGTGATTTTTTTAAAAGCGAAAAATTTATTGCGAAATTTCCACACTACAGATTTTTTTAAAATTTGAAATTTATAAAATTTACCGCAAAATAAATTCGTGGTCAAAATTTGAAGATAGGTCACCGATGAAACTAATGAGTAAAATGAAGATAAAGTTAGAAAATAGCAGTCGTGTAACTCGAGAAATTCTCTTATTGAAAAGCGTCGCTGACTAGTAAAAGATTGTACGCGGGCGCAGAACGAGTTTTCATTCAGCAAAAACGAGCCGCAATGTTGTTTTTACTGTTTTGTTTTTGTCAACTTTTCGATTTATTTGAGTGCTATGGAGAGCCAAGGATTATTGTGAAGGATTAAATCGATGAAAACAAGGTTTGAAGCTAATTGAATCCTGCCGTTTACTCAATCTATGAGCTGTAACAGCCTATTAACAGGTGGACGTGTTTTTTTGTTTCATGTTTGGTTTTGTACTTTTTGCTAAAAATGAACAATTAGGCTATGAAACTGAAATATTATTTTAGTAGAAACACGACTAAAAACGTGAACGTTTTCTTGAGAAGTAAACAACATTTTAAACGTTTGTATGCAATTTTTCAAATGTTTTACAGTTGAGTCAGTTGACAGTGTATAAAAACATTTAAAAATATTGTTTCGTAGCTATGTTTTGGTCTAGTGATATTCGCATCATATGTAGAATTGCTGTATAGACTCGCAAGTGATTTGGCACTCAAAACGAAGTATTATTTAACGCTTTTTTCCATTAGAAACCTTTCAGAAATAGCTTTACTTTTAAAAAAAGTATGGTCAATTTTTGTTTTGTTTTGATGATGCAGTTGCGTGGGATAGTTCACGTACTTTTCCCGCGAACATCCCGCTCGGAACTGTAGGGAGCCTTCTTAAATACTGCTTAAACTAAACTGTCAAATATAGTAAACATGGACTTTTTTAACATTTAGTTGTTACTAAATATTAACATATTTTTTTATACAAATTATTTAACATTTTACAAGTCATATATTACAATATTGAGCATATTCATATTACAATATATAATAACCTTTTTATTAATATTTTTAACATTAAATATTTTTATTTATACAAATTATTTATTATCTTACAATTCATGTATTATATAAAAATAGCATAAAACCAGTGGCAAAGCCAGCACAACAATTTGCCAGTCATCCCATTCAAATTTAGAAATGATCATTAGAAATCATTATATTCTCCATATGTGCCTTCTACATTTGGGGATTCTATTTGGAGGTCCGCAAATTCGCATGGTTGAACACGTAAGAATACTTAGTTACATGTATTATCACATTTGCTAATATCAACCTGCAAATAACAATGTTCAAGTGTTAGCTGGGTATGTCTTTCAGAGACATTAGCACGTGGTCGGGCTCGAAGCAACACACCTTGGGAAGCCACAAAATAATACATGGGCTTGCTAGATGTTAATTATGGTTAACACATTAAAAAATACAATGTTCCTAATGCTCTTTTAGTCTTTTTTATTTTATTCTGTCTAATTGAAGGCAATTTTGCTTTCAAGAGGGAGCGTAATTTGTACACATAGCATATTACCAGGTTAACAGAAATATGGCTATGTAAAAACTCACAAATATTGTAGCTCGATAAACTCAACTCCAAAACATTTTGTGTTACTCAATACTCATTAGGGTTATCGAAACAACTATACTTTCCGGCTGCCAATGCTTTTGTCTACTCATAATGTACGCCTCTGGATTAATATTTGATGAGCGCTGGCTGTATGAGTGGAATACTTTATTAGACAACACACATCACGTTTGGCAGATGGAAAACCTTAAATACAATTAAATCTTTCAGTGGTAAATAATAGAATGCATGACTGGTTTATAGCAAATCAACAAAGCATGAAAGTTTGTGCTTTAAGTACATGATTCAATTTGAGCGAATACTGTATCTGTTATTAAGTTAATATCGTCAACTAGCTAGTGTACTCGCGCGTCTATATAGCCCAAAGTTCAACAAAGCAAAACAAAATATATAATCGTTTGTAACAGTATGAACATACCGCATTACACGTTTTATTCCACAACTGATATGCGATGTTTTATCACTTTGCGCACTTTCTCGACAGCGAATAATATTTACTGGCAAGTCCATTATATGGCGGCTTGCTTCTTCCTTGACCCTGACCAGAGCCTCCTGAATTTTTAGTAAGGATATCGCCTTGGTTTGTCTTTCTCTTCTCTCGAACCTTATGCGCTTCTTACGGGCTGCCCTCGTTCTTTTTTCCTGTTGGTTAGGGCTGTGAATATGCCGTTTAACTAAAGTAGGTTTTTCTCACACAACGGTTGTTATTAGGGATAGATGTCGGTATAAACTGCGCGCGATTTTGCGCCAAATAAGTTTACTAATGCATAGGTCTGGTTTGACGTCATCATGCCCATATTTGGTGGGTGCGCAAAGTTAATTGCATTCACCTTGTCTGTCGTATTCATGCATGCAAAGATTTATATTTCTTAGGCCGCATGTACACGATACCAGACAGATTTTCATTTACCAGACAAAAGTTTAAGTATTTGACCACTTATCCGTACAAGTTTTTGTCCGTCACGAAAGCGTACCAGTTTCAAAATGTATCGACCAGACAAATGTTTGTTCGGTACTATGTAAGCGCAAAATCGGAACAAATATTTGTGCGACTACATCTCGGATCACATCCGAATTCCGCCAAGCAAAGAGCGAATCTATCCAGTACGAAGTATGTCGGAGGTCTATTGTCGTTAGCAGTTCAAATTTTTCGCAAAAAGAATGTATGCTTCGACAGCTGTGAACAATGATAGCGCACAGGCATACCACAGGAATATGCAGACAAATATTCGTCCGACATTGCAATCAGTATACAGGTTTCTATCGAAATAGAAATTGGTCTGGTGCCATGAAAATAGGGCCTTAGAGTGGAATGGTTTGAACCATGCAAATGGCCCAAAATACTATTTCTTTTCAATCGTATGCTTCCATAAAGTTTTAA